TAATTGCACATTGACTGTTGACTGCTGCACATGCTGCTCCCATGCAGCATACATTCTCTGTTATATTCTTATATATTTTTTATTATACTGCTGCATTTGCTACTTAAAGTGCCTTAGATTTTGTGTTACTTATTTATCTACTTTATATTTCATTTGTATTTTGTGGCATTCATGTTGACGGCAAAGTAAGAATTTCATTGTACAGGGAAATACGTTTCCTAACTGTGCATATGCCAAATAAACACTGAACTTGAACTACCATTACAGAGTTCTTCATGACAAATCATGAGAGATGGTTCTTAGTAGGGGTCTGATTGTTTTTCCTCCTCTTTATCAGTAGAGAGACTTTCATAGGTCACAGTGAATGGTGCTGAAATGCTGCTCAGAAGGTTTTAATCATTCCAATATGGAAGACTCAGGCTCTCACACATACAGTACATGGGGGTCTCACTGACCACGATTATTGTGTAACTGTAAAAAACTATCAGCTCTCGTCAGCCTCAGAGCTGCTGACATATCCATTAAAGTCCACTTTCCAGTGTCTCTACTGAGGCTCATCAGCCCAAAGAAGATGTTATCTGTTCTTCTTCTTGTCTTTTTTCTCTTGCTCATGAAGCCGTGATGAGCTTTTGAGGACACAGTGCTGGCGTGGCCGCTGGTCTTTAGATGGTGAAACAACACAGCAGAGGTTTATGTCCCTCTGGAGGTGGAAATGGAGATATGATGATGATTAAACAACACAATGTAGGCGATAAGGTTCCCACTATGGCCCTGGAAAAAATTTTTTCCAGTCGCTATTGTAACTCAGAAGGATGGGAAAGCACAAACCGACGTGGATGCATGTGTAGGCAGAAGAGATTTTTAATAGTGATTCAATTTATAATGGTAAATACACATGACTTCCGTAAAACACCTACATACCTCAGGAAACCGTTCTCCTCCTGTGTTTGACTTGACATTCTTTGGTTTGTCTTTTCCTCCTCCCTTCTTTCCCTTTGTCTTCCCAGAGCTGCTGAGGCAGATGGCAGATAAAAATGTATTAGTAATTAATTCAGGAATTAACTGTGCTGCATTCCCTATTTACCACAGTCGGTTCACATGCCTGTCCTCTTCTTAACTGTGTGAAGTTTTTGTAAAACATGCTCATAAAGTGGTGCTGAAATTTTTGAAACTAGGTTTCAGGTTAGTTTTTTTTAAGGTTGTTTCCTCTGTCTTGAATGTTACATCAAGAGTGGAATGAGATTATTTGATCTTTTCAAGGTTTTTAAAAATCTTTATTTACCTGAAAATACAAACAAGAACATCCACAACTCTAACGGAGGGGCAAGCACTTTAAAACCACGCAGAAAGCAGATGTTTTGGGCCTTATTTAATTTTTAATGGTGATTCCATAATTAAGTATTTTAAACTGGACTAATGAAAACATTTATAACAACAGATCAAATATGACTGAATGTAATGTGAGCATGTAATGATGAGTCCACAGAGAATTATGACCTGAATCTGCAGTTCCCCTCAGCTCCACCATAAGCCACTGTTATTGTTTTATGACTCATCAAGATCATTTCCACTGTGATCAACCTACTGTACACTACCTGCTCACCACCACAGCGGACAGAGAGGGTTAGAGTAAGTGTGGAACACAGTGGAGCATCTGGCGACCTAGACAACTAGATATTTAAGAGTTCCAAGACCAAACTAGAACTAAAAAGTGAACGTTGGACTTCTGTTCATCAGGCTGCCAGAAACATAACCACTAATACCTGTACATGTTACTGTGTGAATTGGCAACGTCTTTGTCATAGTTACATTTCAAGGTGATAGTGTCTGTTGTTTTTTTCAGCTTCTTCTGCTGCCCCCAAGTGGCCAAAATACAGACTCAATACAGCTTCAAAAATTCAGGAACACTGTAGCCCACTGGCATTTTCTTGCCCACTGAGAAGAGTGTGATAGGTCACTATCGGCAAAGTCCATTTTGACTTCAAATAGCCAGCAGTTTCAGTTAAGAAGCAGTAGCTGATCTAAGTCTGATCTTAAAAACCTTCATTTGTGGAATCAATTAAAGTGACCCTGATGAAGGCCTGATGGCCGAAAACATAAGGTGGTTAAAGTCTAATGTTTTTGGGGAAGATCTGTGAGATGTGTTTTGATGTTAATCAGTTAAAGTCAACCACACATCCAGAGAACCTGAAGTGACTGTATCTGGTAGCATGCAGAACAGGTGGTAAGAAAACAGAGCTGGAGATTGAAAAAGTAAAAACAAAGAAATAACTGGAGTGACCTCTTGACTTCTGTGGGTGGGGCATCATTCTACTTCTCGGGCTTGGCAGGGTCCACTGACTTCTCAGGGGCATCTTCCTCACAGGTAGTTAGTGTCAGTTCCTCCTTCCTCTGTTATGGAGGAAGACAGCATGAATAGAGAACAGAGAAGGCTTTTAAGAAAGGTTCACTTCGCAGGCAGCAACCGTGCACTAAACCAAGCACAGCCGCTGAAACAAATAAAGTACTCACCTGCATTACTTGCCATTTATTTTTCCTCTTTTGCTTTTTAGACAGCCTGTGTAGGTGAAAAAAATGTCAGTAAAATCAACTAAAACTATGTGTGTATAAGGATTCTGATACATTACCAAAATTCTAAACATGCGAAAAGTGGATTTCTCTATATTATTATCACATCAAGCATGAGCGACGTAGTTCTGCCTTGGCTTTTCTTCCTCTTCCTCTTGCAGCTCACTTCCTTTCTCTTTTCCATCCAGGTTCAAACCAAATGAATCCTCTTCTTCCTCCAGCTGTTGCTGTAGCAACGCCACCATCTCCCGATGCTGACTGGTGTTATACAAAACCTGACTGTTATTTTTGTTTTTGGTCCCATTCTGTATGACGGACTGAACTTTCTTGCAAGAAATAAAATACATAAAGGCAACTTGGCTGTTCACTCTTTATTTCTCCAGACTCATGTTAAAATTTCCATTACAGAACTTTAACTCTGAATGACACTTATCTTACATCAGTGGTAGGTAGGAGAAATAAAAAACATAATTTTACTCGGACTACGTTGGTTCTGGGAAGCTAATTTAGCAGCTCTGTCAAGTATTTAATTGACATGAACCAACTGTGGGCACATTTCCATCAGAGCAAGGCTGGGTGCTGACAGTGCGGGTGTCAAACAGATGCCATGTATAAAGATGAATCCTTCTGTTAACCTCCTCATATAAAAGCCTCAATGTACAAAAAACAGCTAATAACAACAGAGACCATGTATTTACACAGGCCAAGGAGGAAAACTGTTCTTTGGAGCAAAATAATACAGAGCTCATATGACTGAGAACAAGTGGTATATCATAGGCAAGCTAAAAGTACCATATACTACATAATCATTAAGAAAAACTACATTTATATCCAATGTCTTCCGGTGGCAGAGTAACACAGGAGTTTGTTTCTGGCTGAACATTAAAATGCAGAGTACGTGATCTGAGACTTACACACAATGTGGCTTTGGGTAGAAACAAAATGAACAATGATTCATTCAGATGACATAAGTGAAAGTATTTAAAGGCAAAGAGCAGTCTGTCATTAGCTTGGGTATGTGTATAAAATGTAGAAGATGACACAGGTGTGTGAGGCCCACAAACAGTATCCAGGGATGTGATATTACTGTTTATTTACATGCAGCTTCCCCTTTGTGCATGGTCGTCTTTTCTGTCAACATTTCTTGCAGTCACATCAATGAAGGGAAAATGGCTGAGATTGAAAACACACACAGATGGAGCATGGGTTGATGGCAAGGAAATATGTATGTGTCATCTAATTTTCGATGTAGTCCGGCTACATGTGTGCGACTGTGTGTGTTCACCGGTCCATCATGCTAAGGATCATCTCTGGAGTCAGATCTCCATTGGCAGATGCGGCCGTCGTTTCCTCATTCACAGCCAGCTCAACAGTCTCCACCCCTTCCCCATCTAGCCCCGCCCCCTCTACGGTCAGGGCCATTCCCTGCTCCAGAGGTGTTGTTGCAGAGGTGTCACCTTCCTCCTTTTTCACAATGATGTTCTCTACTGCTCCAGTGCTCTCATCCTCCACCTGAATGATGGCAGCAGCTAGAAAACACATCAATAAAGAGTTCAATTCTGAATCCAGAGGTTATGTGACTAAAAACAGTCAACACCTGGCATGGGGACAAATGGGATTCACAACACAAACCCTGAAATTACCTCTGCAGGCCAATTATATGTTATACTTCTATATTTTTGTATACTGAGCAGACGTGCACCTTGTAATGGAAACCCTTCTGGTCATGGTTTACAGGTAATTTCCAAAACAGGTTTGTTTACAATTCAGTTGTGATTTTTTTAGACTATTTTTGTTTTTGAATCTAATAAGTTAGTAGTAATTTTAGCTACAGTCCATGTGCTATTACAATACTTAAATATTACAGATGACTACCCCATCTCTAAACTAAAGGCATCATGTTTGCCATATGAAATGGTCTACTTTCTTATCTAACCATCTCTGATAGTGTTCTCACCAGAACTGGTCGTCTTGGCAGCCACCCTGGCTGACCTGCTGGGTGTTGAAGGCTTGGGGGCGTTCTTTGGGGGTCGACCCCGTTTCCTCTTAACTGGTGGCTCGTCGGGGGCCGGTACAGGGATGGCAGCAGGGGCCTGGTCCAGTTCCATGCTTTCAGGCTCCTCCTCTTCCTGTAATACTGATGATTCTTCCTCTCCCTCAGCATCCTCCTCCTCATCTGGTTCAGCATGATCCTCCTCTGACAGACATTCAACAATGACATATGTCGGATACACTAATCGGAAATGAGCATAGTACCGAAGCTTCCAATATCAAATTCTCACCACTGTCATCTTCATCTCTCCTGCTCCTCATCTTCCTCTTTCTTCCTCGCCTTCCTTTCTTTGGAGTTGGAGCTCCATTTTCAGCATCCTCCACCTCACCACTGCAGTTGTCAGCGTGCCGAGCCATGGTGTTCTACAACAACGTACTGTTAGACAGGCTGTTGACTTTTATAACATACTACTCTTAGGCCAAGTACAACCCCTGAAGACTTTACTTCAGCTGAATTAAAACTACAAACAAAAAATGCCCAAACCCTGCGAGTGAAGGTCTTGCTACACTTGGGGCAGACGAAGGCAGTGGGGACAAAGTTGGGATCGTGGTAACGCTTGAAGTGCATGTCTAGCAGCTGCTTCTGTCTGAAAGTCTTCTCACACTGGCTGCAGGCATATGGTTTCTCTCCGGTGTGTGTTCGACGATGCATTACCATGTGGCGCTCCTGGATCCAGCACCATGGAACATAGCAGTTACAGAGCCAGTAGTATATATCCAGTCAAATTCGATTTGGTGGACAGATCACCATATCACTTTGTACAGACATTCACAATCCACACAGGAGGAATCCTTATCCCTAATGACCTTCCTGGGTCCTAGCATTTTCTAGTGTCAACAGCAGCTCATTTTAGGGCTGCAACAACTAATTGATAATAAAAATATTTGGCAATGAATTTAATTACTGGTTAGTCGGATCTAGTCACATAGCTGTGTGAGACGGCCAAGAGCAGACAAGTTGGGTCAGCGACTGTACGAGTGCTATTGTTCCACGCTCCAGTTCACTAGGTGGCGGTAACACACCTACAAGTTAGTTTCGGTGGGTGAGAACGTCAGTAAGGTTGGAGTTAACATTACAGAAGAAGGGGAGCTTGGAGCTAATGTTAAATAAGTCATTAATTTAAACTTTAGTTAAGAATGTAAGAAATTATGAAACAAAAATGATGTTGTACCTGATTTTAACTAACATGGATACGTTATGTATATTATGATGCTAATTAAATATTTAGGAACAGTGGTGGCTTGTGTAGGTTGCCAATAATGTGCACTAAATGCGCTTTCATTTGTTTAACGAAACATGAAACATGTGTGAACAGCCAAAAACAATATTAAACACAATTTAAAGCATTATAGGTGTGTACCGGTACACTGATGACATGTGCAGGTTAAGAGTAGGCCTAAATGTGTTGCAGATTATTTAGGCCGACTCAGATTGACTTTTAACCACAAGTAGCAGCCATAGTTCTACTGGCCCTTTACATTAGCATGGCATGTTTTATGAACATATAGTCTAAATGATTTTAAATCATAACTTTTGTTTCTGTTAACACTGTAAAGACCTGTTGTGCACTTTATAAACGCTGTTCTTGTAATGTGGAAAACAGAGTTCTGTGTGGTCATCATAATCAACAGATTAATCAATTATTAAAATAATCATTAGTTGCAGCCCTAAAACATTTACTCAAACTAAAAGTTCTTAACATCTACGAGTTAACACAAATGGTGAACATGGTAAACATGACTCAGAGCTACTAGCACTGCTGTGGTCTTATTAACTTTTAAAAGTTTAACATTTCAATGATTTTTCATCATCATTCATCAATCATAATGATTTTAAAAATAATTAAAATGTTAAACTGGCTGTAACTTCAATTACCTGGTATTCAGAGGAAGTTATTAATTTTCTGAAACATAGTAACCATACATATTATTACAAAAAGGTATTTGTGAGAAGACCTGGCGGCAGCAGTAGTCGCACATGTCGCATTTGAACCTCTTCTCATTCTTATGGGACTTTTGATGCTGGATCAGAGCATAGCGCTCGTGGAAAACAGCGTCACAATAACGACACTTCTTCCCAGTCTCAATGAATGAGTGCTGCTTACGAAGATGGACGCCTGGAGATGCACACATATAACAAGTGAAAACAAATCAGAGGAATGAAAAAACATGGTAAAGTAAACACTTGTATGCAATGTATTTTGTTTGTATATTACCCAAATCACTCTTGCGTGCAATGACTGTGTCACAGTGTGGACAGTGGAATTTGGCCACATTCTCCGTGTGTTTCTGCAGAATGTGCATCTTCATAGTTCCACTCTGGGTGAATCGAGCATGGCAGATGTAGCATTCATAAGGCTTCTCCCCTGAGAAAAGGATTTAGTCTGTGTTCACGATGAGTTTCAAAGCTGTGAAATAATTCAGCTCTGCCTATTCATTTCTATGAGGATCACTGGTGTTCACTACAGCTGGCACCAGCACCACAGGGCTCCGGCAAAACGACAGCCCTGTGCTGTAAAAAAGCCGGATCCGGTTCAACTTTTGCCACATCAGACAGTGATAGCACCTGGTAAAGGCACTGTATTCGCCAATCATGTACAGGGAACAGACAGAACTGATTGTGAACATAGACTTAGCATGTAAACAGGTTTGCCACTGTTGTTAATGTTCATAATTGTTTCTAATTTAACAGAATAATTTAAAAAAGAATCCAGTGAATGAAATAGAGATTTGAAAATTACTGGATCCAGCCTAATTTGTCTAATAATAACCTAATTTCATTTATAGCAAATGAAATTGTTTTGTAGTTGACAAGAGGTTTAGCACACATAAAAATGACCTAGTTTATTCGAATGAGGTATTTGTAATGGAGCCAGAAAATAACCTTTTCATGGGAAAGAACAAGCTAATTGGTAACAATTACAAACTAAAGCAAACAAACAATACTGGTCCTGCATCTGTAAAAACAATTTTATGCCACCATGTCATCCTTCATGTAGAAAAGCAGTTAAGGTATCAGTTTTACCTGAGTGTGTCCTCATATGTCTCTTCAGCTTGTATGTGTCTCTGCTGGCATAACTGCAAAGACTGCACTGGAATGGACGCTCTCCCGTGTGGGAACGAATGTGGCGCTTTAGTTTGCTCACCTACACAAAGACCACATACATATAGGCAAAACAACACGTCTCCCATTATCCCGTGCAGTTAGTAACTGCTCTAGATTCTTGGAGCAAAGCAGTTTTATTTCTACTTCTCCAAACAGTGCAAATTAACCGGTTAACAGAATTTGCAAATTTTTTCTCTATAATATTAATAATGGAAAGGTCTAGACCTTACTTAGTAAAGTGTGTACTAGCATGTGTTTCATTAAATTACTCCCATCGAAGGTTTTATTGCACGAACATTAGCAGGCAAATGGCTCCCTGTCTCCACTGTGACGGCAGCTGTCTGCTCACAAAGGAGAAGCTGCTTCATAAACAGCAAAACCATAATTCTAATCTCACTCAGTTGTCTTTGATAAAAAAGAAATCCATAAATCCTAAGTGCATTAGCGGCAATTCTCCTGTTTGATCACGAGTTAGAACACCTACAGCAGCCTGTAGTTTGATAGCTAGCTATGTCTTCACCTTGCAAATGCATTTTCCTGCATGTTTTTAATACCACCTATGATGGTAACAGGAGGCACACTTCCATGAGTGGGCGTGGTTTCAGTGTCTTCACACCCCCCCAACATTTCAGAGCACAAAATACTGATTCTTATATATTTGAGGATCTCTTAAATCATTCAAACTTGTCTAGGTAGTTAATAACACATCTTCCTGCGATGTGCCAAACTCAGAACACATTTTTTCCACTTTGCCCCCACTTTAAAATAAGTTTATTATGGTTGTGTGGTTGTGTTGACTCTCACAGCGCTTGGTTTAGAGAGAGCAAAACTTAAAAGTGACTTCAAATTCAGCATTAGAGTGGAACTCAAAAGGGAACTAAACTCAAACCATTGATATGACAGCATTGCGCTCTACCTCTGCTATCCATTTCCTCACGCTGCTGTTAGTGCAAGTAAATGCAGCACTCATTCATTCAAGCATTATTATGCTGCATCTGAATAGATTCTACCTCATGAGCCATGACTACTCGCAAAAGTTTATATAACTTAAGTTATATAAAGCAGACTGAAGCTCATCTTACCTCCACACTGGCATAGTCACACATGGAGCATTTGAAGGGTTTCTCATGTGTGTGTTTATAGCGTCGATGGCGAACCAGCTCTCCACTAGTCACAAAAGCCATATCACAGTCTGTGCACTTATGTGGACGGGTTCCTGCATAAATAAACACCAAGACATGTAAGCCGTGTTTAAATAAACAAAAAACTCAACTCTTCCATCTCTTCTTGAGCTACTAGTAATTTAGTACTTTTGGTCTTTTTGGCATCTTATGTTTTTATAAAGGTAAGAGTATACCTGTGTGTAGGGCTACACAATTATGTAAAAAAAAAAAAAAAAACACACAATCATGATTATTTTGGTTGGATCACAATTATTTAACAGGATTAGTCATCGACTTCAGAAACACCATGCAGTTATTGAACTTTAAAAAACAAACTTGTCTTTTATCAGGGAGTTTTTTTTTAACTTTAAATATGATTCAACTGAAAAACAAAGTAATTCATCTACCTAATTGTGACTGACAGTTTAGAAGAAATCATTCCCCTACATTTATTTTACAAATAAAACCTTCCTGCTTCATGTTAACAAAACTGCCTGTCATAACGTAAAGAATCAGTCTACTGGGTTCATGACACTGTCACATCCATATCTCTCCCTGTCATTTAACAGAAAGTCTACAGTCGTCTTTGTTTGAGCTTGTTCAGAATAATTAGCTATTAACTTAACAAGCCTGCCATGGTTAACACAAACTGGTGGTGGATGACAGTCTGCAGACAAAGCTAAAATCATCACAAGTTCATGCTCATTTAGCGGGTGCGTTGATAGATTACTCTTAACTTTTTACTGCTGAGGTTTTATTGGACGTACAGTAATCATCTTAGGTGTTGTCAACTTAGAGCAATATTTCACTTCACCGGAGAGAAACACATGCTCACACTGAAGGGGTGTGCTGGGTTTCTAACACAAGACAAAATGAGAGCTTCACTGCAAAATGGAGTGCGGCACAATAATCCCTTTATCTTGATTATTTTGTTTTCATAATTGTGGTAAGCCAAAATCTTAACTGCAAATCAAATTTGATTAACTGCCCAACTCTACCTGTGTGTGTATTGAGATGGTTTCTTAGCAGGGTGACCGTCCTGAAGGCTCTTCCACACAGGTGACATTTGTGAGGTCTCTCGTCAGTGTGGCTCTTCATGTGTCTGTCCAGGTTGGAGCGTCGAGGGCACGTGTAGCTACACAGCTCACATTGGAATGTCTTCTTCACTCCTAACACACACCATTCAGTAAGAATATGTCAAAATCCCAAGGCTGCTGCCTCAGGGGAAAACAATGACACACAAAATGTTGCATCTGGAGCATAAAACACTTAACTCTTTGCACATGTAAAACATAAACCTAAAAAAAAAAAAAAAGATATTATGCTATTTTCAACTTGTGATGAATTTGGAAAACAGAAGTTTGTAAAAACAATATATCTTTTTCACACAACACAAATCTACTTAAAGTTTATAAGCAATAATATGATATATTACCAGCTCATTTCAAAGCAAAAGCACAGAAGGCTTTGAACAGAAACTAATCAAGGCAAACAACACAAACAACTTCAAGAAAATGCATCTAGTTTCAAATATTGTATAATTTACACAATTACATGATATAATATAGAGATTACAAATCAAATTAATCAAATGTTTGCCTAATAAGTCCTTTTAGTATCATAGCACCGACGACAGCAATAGTAATGTCATAATAATAATAATAATGAGAAGAAGAAGAAGAAGAAGAATGTGGAGGTGACGATGCTAACTGTGCTATCGTTTAGGCTTGTCCTGAATGACAATGAACAGCAGAGAATGTGCTGCATTTCCATCACTGATGTGAGACTAACTGATGGTTTTACCAGTGGAGACTTTTCACTCTGTTGGAGTTGGAACAACAGAGAAACATTCAGTTCACTAACTATTCAGTGGTGTTACAGAGCATTGCTCTTTACCTCATAAACAATCTTCAGCTAACAGCAACAGCACGCTGAATGCTAAAATTGAAAACCGATTACCTACCCAGTGAACAAATATCCGAATAGTCAGCTATTTGGGTCCAGCCCTACTATTGTTGTAATAATAATAATAATAATAATAATGGTGTTAATTTATATTGCTACTGTGAATGACCCCAAGAGAATAAATGATATAATATATCAGTTAAAGATGATGAAATAAGCAAATGGATTGAAATGCACAGTAGGTAAGAAAAACTTCATAATTTGCCTACACAGCTGCAGATGATAGAACAATGCTGATGATGGTTGTTTTCTTGATGACTGTTTACTTGCCCCTTACATGGGGATATGTACATGTACATTGAGAGCCGATGTACCAGAGTCAAATTCCTCGTGTGTCTGACACACCTGGCCAATAAAGCAGATTCTGATTCTGATCACGAACTTATGTTTACGCACATTTAGGAGTGATCGGTATAATCCAGTAGTGAGAAGCAAACATAGCTTATACTGCACTTAAAGAAAAATTTTTTTTGCAATTCTTTTTCAATGACATAAAACAATCCAGGCCAAACTAACTTTGAAGAGCAATGTGTAACCCATGGGTAAAACCAAGACTATTAATGGTAATTCACTGGTCAGCAATTGTTGTCTTATTTTATTTTATAAATGAATCTTGATTATTTTCCCTGCTGTCATCCCGGGGTTATGGGGGTATTTTATTTTGAAAGGCTTTAATTTGAAAGCTAAAACCGCCTTCCTGCCTTTTTGCTCAAGCTAGGTGACCCTCCACTAGACTGAAGGGGCCTGAGCTGCTGGAAGTGAAATTCCAGGCGAACTAACTTCAACAGAAGAAAAGCTAATAAAGATTGTACTAAAACCAGCAGACGGACTGGACACGTTGGATGTATGAGAACTTGAGACCGTGTTTTGTGTTTTGAATTTTTTTTTTTGGTGAGTAAAGCTATGAGAAAATCCGTGAATTAGCTTAGCTTATGGCTAACATTATACATTTACACTGGG